CCCACCAGAAAAAAAAAAGCCCCCCCCCCCCCCCCCCCCCCGACTGCAGTTCTGCGAAAAGTCTAGATCTGAAAACATTGACACAAGCTCCACAGCCGACAGACAATCTTTCAGCAGCCGAGCTGATGGTTCTGTTCAGCGGTGGATGGAGGCAACAGTTGCCTGTGGCCAAAACAACAACTAGACCTGGAGGAAGAGAAAGGTCAGCATCATCATCATGAGTGGCCTGTCACGCCTGAGGCTGAGGAGGAACGTAACGACTAATGAAGACGAGGTGTCCATCTGGAGTCAGAGCCCAGGCTTTTCAGATATAAACTTAGTCAGGACGCTGGACCGGACGTTGTCACTCACTTTAAAATAAAATAAATAATAATTCAATTTGGACTTGAACACGTCTTGCAGCTAAAGTTAATTCCATGTTACTGTTCTGTGAACTGCTAACACTTCCACAGCATGTTGCTAGGCTACTGGGAGTAACATTCAAGCTCTGCTCTACTGTAGAAATGTTGGAGTACAAACCATCTTTGATTCTCCCAGTTTCTGTACTGACCATGCTCCGGGCCACTTGTTCTGCTATTTGAATGGACCAAGTTTTGGAAAGTAACTATTGAGGAATCGCTCATGAAGCGATTCAATGACAACTAAAGCAACTTTGTCTTCCTAGCTTTGTTTTAAATGCTGGAAACCAAATGTCCAGTAAGGCTCCTGTAGAACATGAAGACGTCACTGACAACAAATCATCATCAGGTCGGTCATGATGGTTGGACTGTTCTAAATGAACCATAGATACAGTGAAAAGTATTGGACCAAACCCAGAATTGATATATATCAATATAAACTGTTTCATGAAATCCAAGCAAAGCTAAAACTGATTCGTAGAGGATCTAAAAACCATCGCAGACGACTGGAAGCGTCACAACACCAGACGCTGCAGTTAATACAACATGGCAGCGTTTCGCCATTGGTGACGTTGTAGCTGTGTCAAACCGTCCGCCAAACTGACGTGACTAATTAACAGCGTTCAACTGTGCGTGAACGTTTACTACAGTAACACACGTCAGTTAGCTGTAGGTAACGGTGACTGAGTCACTAATGGACGGACAGATGGATGTTCTGACAAAGAAGAAGAAAAAATCAATGGGTCTTTGAGCCACGAGGACGTGCACCAGCTGCGAACCGTCTCGAACATTGAACATGGAGCCAATCCCAGCTGTCAACACTCATTCTCGTTGATGTGGAATGGTTAATATAAATGCTTCAATTTCTATTGTTAAATTTAGTTTTTTTTTTAAAAGAATCGTCTTAAAACTAATTTGATATAAAAACCACTGAGGCAAAATGAAAATAAAAACTGCTCCTAGTGCGAATGTGCCCTGAGCCATGAGCGTGAATGTGAGTGTGAATGGTTATTTGCCCCTATTATGGACTATGATGAAGGGTGTACAGCTCCCTCGCCTGACGACTGCTGGTATTGTCTCCGTTCAACCCTTGTTTTTTTATATCTCTGTGTGAGACGTTGAAGGACACGGCATCAAAGAGCGGGTCCTGCATCTAAAGTCAATCCAACATATTTGAATACGACCACCACGGCCTTTGGTACTAATGACATCGAGGTGCAGCAGTGACATCACTGACAACTGGACCAGTCAGAAACACAACGTCTACCCTGGTTATAGCTTTGTATTACATACAATCTTCCCAGAACGCAAACCTCGTTAATGATTCTCTATTAATAAACTCATGAGCGATGCTGTCTGATTTTTGTGAGACCCCCCCCCCCCCCCGTTTCTGGTTAGCCTATCATCGGGGGCCGGTGAGTGAAGACACGACTGAGGGTAAGAGCAGATGATTTAAAGAGGCTCGGTGACAACAGCTGGGTTTAATCTTCCCCACTGTTACCTTTTCAGAACCACTGCCTGTCAAAATACACATAAAGTACAAGCAACAGCCTCAGCCCACATCTCAGCTCGATATACAACGGCCCGTAAGGTTGCGGCCCCCGAGGTGTTGTGATCACGGCTGGGTGAACTCATCACACTGAAGGTCTGCCATCAATCACGGAGGCCACACACAGCCGTTCCCGTTGTTGTCACGTTTTGTCAGGCAGGACTTTTTCTCCGCCTCTCCAGGAGGAGAGAGTTTTAAACCGTTGTATCCACCGTCAGTGAGTGGTTGAAGTCGTTTGTCGAGTGATCGTCTACAGTACACCCTTCAGGGAAGTAGTTCCAGTCAAACAAACGTTCACGTCTCTTACTAAAATAAACCAGAGTTTGCTGCTGCAGATGTCAGGTTATATTTGGGACCAAATGTCCTGATATTATTATGGGAACAACAGATAATGTTCTGATAAAATAACAGCAGAGAATCTGGGAATACTGGACCAAGGTTGTAGGAGAGGGAGCTTCCAGGCAAGAAGGAATGAGAAAGACTCATGAGATTTATGGATGTAGTGATGGACGACATCCATGGAGATGGTTGGTGTAAAGGTGGAGCTGGAGGAACGTGATTCACTGTGATGACCTCTAAAGAAAGCTGATGAAAGAAGAGGAGGAGGAGGAAGAGGAATAATAATAAGAAGAAGATGAAGAAACGAAAGAGAGGAAGAGGAGGAAGAAGGCTACCTCCTAATCCTACATCAGTCCCAGAAATTTGTCCTGGACTATTCGTCCGTCCAATCAAACTATTTTATAAATCTGAGTCCAAAAACATGTTAAACTTGTTGAGGCTTTGACATTTGGAAACACCACCGAAGCAGAATTCAGACTGCGACGTGGAGGAGGTGGAGAGAGACTGGAACAGCAGAGGTCTCCAACGCACCGTTGGGGTAAAAATAAAAGGTTTGTCCAAATGTTCAAGTCCTTTTTTCATGATTCTATCTTGGATGAACACAGAGTGACGTCTGCGTCCAGCTCAGCTGTCGACAGGATATTCTCTGTCTGCAGTAATATCCTGGCTCATGACTCAGTGTCTCGGCCTTATCCAGGCACCATCACCTCTGCCTGATTGAATGAAATGTCATTCATCAATCCTGACCTTAACTCAGGTTTGGGTGGAGTTAGAACAAATAATGTCCAGAAGGTAAAAAAAATGAGTTTCCATCTCAGTGTGGTAGAATAAAGAGAGAGAGCTCCCTCTACGTTCTTATGACTCATGCCTTGAAGTGAAGCATGGTAATGTTCCTGTCACAGTCCACACTCTTCAATCCACAGCTGCACAAAGCACAAAGTACGAGAGGCCGCTTTAGTTCAGCTCTGCTGAGTCAATGCTGTTTTTATGGATGTGAGAAAAAAACAAATTCTGTGACGAAGTGCAGGAGGGAATCGTTTTAACTTGTCCCCAATAAATCAAGAACTGAAGAAATCCTTCAAATCTACCTCCTCATACAAAACTGCAGCAAAGCAGGTCAGTAAAATAGTCTGAAACGGACCGTCATGTTTACCACCAAGAGCTAATAAAGATTTTATACTGCATACCAGTGATATCACCTGCATAACGGACGGTAATGATAGGCTGTCATTATCACGTGACTTGGCGCAGGTTTTCACGGCAGATGCCTGTCCTGAGGGCAGTCCACGAAGACTCAGGAGCAGCACCAGGTGGCTGTGGATTGATTTGCAACTTGGCGTTGAGCGTCCTGCCCTGGGACACAACAGTAGCACCTGGGTTCAAGTCCTGACCACAGGTACTGCACCACAGGCCTCTCTGAACATCCTGTTCTTATAAAGCAGTTCCCTGACCTCTGCGTGACCTCTTTATCTAAAAAGGTAACAGATGCATTTGTGGGATGGAAACTGGTTACTATCAATTTGTTTTTTAACATCAGCCAATGTGCAATAATAGGAATGTTTTTACTGCAAAATTTCAATTTCACAAGACTGTTCACACAGTAGCTGCATTTACGTGTGCAAAAAGAAAATGCTGTGGGTGTAAATGTGCAATAATACATTTCAAACATTAACAAAATGTGTAATAAAAATATATGCTGACTTTTTAAAAAGTGCAGTCACAAATATTAGCCAGTCAACTTTACAAATATGCAATAATACAACAGCGAAACTGTATGTTCCAAAGCCTAATAATGTAATAGTAACAATTGTATTTTTGTAAGTTTACAAATGTGCAATAATTGATTGTTTTACTTTGTGACATTTTAGCAGTTTATTACATTTATTTATCGGTAATACCACCTGTTATATGATTCTCATTCTGCTGGACTAAATATGGAATTCTGATTCACATTATTCCAATAATTCGCCTATATATATATATATATATATATATATCTACCCCGTATCCATTGTGTACCATGTGTACTTATAGTCGAAGAATATTTATATCTTACTGGTCAGTGGACCAGAGAGGGAGAAAAAAAAAGGCTCAGACATTTCATTTTATTTCCTCAACCTAGACTCAAGAGATCACACTGACACTGATCCCAAACACACCTCAATCCCAGATGATGAGTCAAAGTCAGAGCCCAGTCCTGACAGTTATTAAAGTCACGTGGGTCTGCTGCCAGGTGTTCAATTTGCCCCTCAGGGTTTAGACCCTGGGTCACGTGGGCTGGATATTCAAAACCCTCATTACTTTACACTGATCATCTAAATGAAGACACATTAAAAACACTGACCAGGTCTGATAATAATAAATGAGCGCTACATTAAAAATGCATTAACCCCACACACGCATACAGATACAGGGGGAGTGTGTGTGTGTGTGCGGGTCTATCTCTAGGCATCAATTGAATGTGACTCCATTATTTAGGTCGTTAAAATTAAGTCAATAACAAAAGGGACGGAGTCTAGAAGGTCTTACCGATGGTGGAGATGTGGGAAGGATGGAACTCGTTGTCGGTGAATCTGCATAACAAGCATGTTTTTCCAACCCCGGAGTCTCCGAGGAGCAGGAGTCGGAAGAGGACATCGTACTGTTTGGCCATAACGTTGGATGCTGTGGATATAAAATAAACAATAAATAAAAATATAAAAAGCCGCGGTGACAGCTAACTAGAGGACGAGTGAAGGATCTCTTCCGTCCTGTGTCCCATGTCGGCTCGGGTTTCCAGCTTCTGCCCTCGGTTCTTTGTGTTCACTAATACTGGGAAAAGATCGGGGATGCTCCAGATTCCCAGCCTGCATCCAGCTTTCAGTGGGTGCGGTGGTGGACCGCACTCAAGTTAAAGAAGGGAAATGCACTTCCGTTGAAGATTTTCAGTATAAAGGTTTATGGTTTAACGCGCATTAGCATTAGAATGAGGACCACACGAAATATTTTGATTTTCAGGACACCGCTAACTTCGATGTGGTACTTATCTCTCAAAATGTAATTTTTCGAAATTGAACCAATCAAATGATTTTGATATGGTCCATTTTATATGTTGTTATTTTCAGTTTCTAGTCACTTTATCACACTTGAATTTATATATTATAGTACTCTTATTTTTAAAAAGTCGATAACACATTTCTTACTTCCCTTACTCCTTGGGACGAGTAGATATAATGTAATAAGCGCATAGTTATTCACGTGGATGAAAAAAAACGATATAAATTTGTTTTGGGATTTAAACTGAAATTTAGACATTTATACAAACTATAGATCGACTACACAAAAATGCAAATGATTAAAGTTTGTACCATTGGAGACGCCGTAACGAGCGGACGCTTATTTTCCGCCCAGCGGAAGTTCTCATACTACAGTGAAAGTGATAGAATAATCAAAACAAAGTACCCAGTGCCGCAGTATTTCCATTTTTTTCTGTTACGTCTCTCACAATTGCCTCCATGGACGGTGTACCGACGACGCTGCGGTGTTTCCGTGAGCGTCACTCCGTGGAGATGTTCCGTGACGACGGCGTGGAGACCGTGACTTCACTGGAGCAGGTGAGCATCGGTTCGATGCTAATATGGCTAATATGGCTACTGCTAAAGCTGCTAAAAGAATAGCCTCCATGCTGGGAAGAATATTTTGACAGAGTAAAATGGTTCGCCTACCATTACACGTTTATTACACAGTAACAGAGCCGACGAGGACGAGGTCATTTATTTTTACGTAAACTCTGTAGCTTTAGCCAGCAAAATAAAATAGTACTTTGTTAGTATTGTAGGGATTAATGGGATTAAGTTCCAGTTTTTACTTAGGTGCTACTTGATATGATGATATAAAATAAACTACTTTTAGAACTATGTCATACGACATGAACTATTTGTACTTAATTTATTTAATTACCCTGCATCTGGTGCGATATAAATGTCCGTTTAATGCAAACTACCTTCAAAGCTTTTAAATAAGGATAGTGAGTTAAAACATTTACGAACACCGATGTTTTTGTATTAAACACTACACAGAATGAAAGAATATTGAAAATACTTAAAGTGCATTTTAAAATATCTGCAGAAGTAATTGTAAATTATGTAATTATGTGTAAATTCGGTAATTGATAATAAATAGTGTCTTGCTTCTTCCCCACTTAAAACATGTTCAAGTTTGGAGACAAAAAGGCTAAAGGAAAAAGGTCAACCTAATATTTCAAACCTAATAGTTGTGAATATAACAGTGCATATATATATAGATATATTTGAATATGTGGAACCTGATGTAACGCAAATCCAATGTTTTTAAATTTGTTGAACAGTTGTTCTAAACATTTTCTTTTTGTTTTCTTGATCAGAAAAAAGTTGAAGCCAGTATTGAAGAGGTTCTCAGTGTTTACAAACAAATACACAGCGTCCCACAGTAAGTAACCACAGTATGTTATACTACAAACATGAATATTGATTAAGTAACAAGTTCTGTTTCATAGACGCAGAGACATCAGGTGTTATGACCCCAGTATAAATTATTGACACTAAAACTTAGGGATGTTCACCATTTCTTGGTATTTATCCTGTTATTGTCAATTTAAAAAAACTAGAGTCTCCTTTTGGATTTGTTAACAGTATGACACATATTACATTATACAGATGTGCAGTGATCTGAGGCTGAAAGTGACTAAATGGCAGTATTAAATCAGTGCCTGATGATTACATGATCACAGCCGCTGTGACACATACACTCATTGTCTGTGGCTCACAAACACCTGCTGTATGACAGGCAGACGCGCAGCGCCGTTATCTTAACGATGCTCTGATCGGCCCACGAGCGTGCTCGCTGCCGTCAGCCGCCATCAGCTGCTGTTTAATGCTGTGACTCATCTTATTTCTATGACAACTGCCGCTGACTTAAATGTCAGCAGCTCCACAACCGGAATGAACAAGTGTTTACTCGGAACACTACTACAGAGTCGATGTTAGTAACTCAGGTTGGACTGATACAATTTACTACAAACTAGTGTGAAACCCATTCTGGGATTGGTTCCTCTGTGTCACCAGGATTCACTATTTTCTGTATTTGTATTTGTTTGGCCAGAAGGTGGAGCTGTTATTAATACATTTTGATAAATTGTGTTATAAATGAGAATCCAAACATGTTGTCAAAGACATCGAAGATAATTTTTCAGACAACCTTCAAGGGTAATCAGAGTCATAATATAATAATATATGGAGCTTTACAGTATTACAGTAGCTGCAGCAGAAACAAGTCTGCAGCCCCCCCTGCTGTCCGCTATAAACAGTGACAGCTGAACCCTGGTCTGACTCACAGCTCTGTGTCGGTGGGCGTTCCGGCCTCTAAGCTGCTTAACTCAGTTTTGCCCCAGACCTTCTGCCTCCAGGACTTCCTTTCCAGTTGTTGTTGTTGAGTTACAGCTGTGATGCAGTGAAACCTAAGAGCAGTGATGTGATGCTTGGCCCGTGTGCGGAGTGTAATTACAATCGTTGTAGCTAAAATACGGGCAGAGAGTGGGATGAACAAAAGGCCTTTTTACTGGAACTGAACTGATCATCAACTGGCGGCCCGCAGGCCGAATCTGAACCGTCCAATCCAGCCTGCTACAAATCAATAATGTTAGACAAAAATTATTTTTATTTGAGTATTTGGCCACCAGTTTTTGACAATTTGATAAATAAAGTTGGTGACCCCTGGCCTAAAGGTTTAGGATCTATAAATAGGAGGTTTCAATTAATTTTGTATAATTTTAATGAATTGTTTACAGTCTCAAAATCTGAAAAGCTGTCTTCATAAAGACATAACTGTTCAGTCAGACTTGTTATAAGATAAAATAAATTACAACAACGGAGGGAGAAACAAAGGAATACAAGTGATTAAACTGCTGTTTCCTATTTTTGTGATTGATCTTTCCTCCTCTCTCTGTTCTTCAGACCTACTTTGATGCGGGACCAGCACTACCAGTATCTGAGGAAGGGCTTACGTCACCTGTCTGATGCCTACGAGGTACAGTGTCTCACTTCCAGTAAAAACGCAACAACACACACAGTGGTGATGCATTGCTTCTGAATCGAACGGCACAAAGAGATCTTAGCCTCCAGCAGAGCTTTTTTTTCTTTCTCTCTCTGTTCGTGTAGTGTCTGGACGCCAGCAGACCCTGTTCTTTCTCTCTCTGTTCATGTAGTGTCTGGACGCCAGCAGACCCTGGCTCTGTTTCTGGATTCTCCACAGTTTGGAGTTACTGGAGGAGCCCATTTCCTCTGCTGTGGCCTCAGAGTGAGACACACACACACACACACACGTCTACCAGGTGCCAAATGAAACCTGCGCGTTGCCAAATATTTCTATTAAACATCCTTAATATTGCTGGAGAGTCGGCTGTGCTAAAGTCTGAGATAATGAGCAACAACAGCTGCAGCTGAATGATCTTGGCCCCCCATTAGGAAAAACACAGATTTTTATTGTTTATTTTTTGGAGCGATATGATCTAATGGTCGTTAAAAACTGACTAAAGTTTTTGTCAGTGAAGCTGTAAAGACACTGCAGCCCGCTGTATGCTGTGCCTGATATGGAAATTCAAGTCTTACTCTGAACTCTATAGTGGGATGCAAGTCAACTGAAATTAAATTTTAATATTTTCTTAATTTTTAGCTAAAAAAATTCTCACATTTAAAACAAAAAATCCTTTTGTTCAATAAAAATATCTGATTAAAATGAATGACTGTGTTTAAATAACGTTCAATGAAGCTGTAAAAGGACGGCTGTTACTGTGTCCACAAGAGGGGGCTATAGTCCTAACTGCTACCTTCAATGCTGCATTTCCAATTCCTCATTTAACAGAATTAACAGCAAAAACCGAGGCCGTGTCAGTAAAATGAAATCAGGGAGTCACTTCTCCTGTTTGATCATTTCAGTTATGAACAACAGCCGTCACTGTGTGTAGATTAATGAGGCTGTAAAGGCTGTGGTACATCTTCAGTTGATGCTGACTCATCATCATCATCAGTTTTAGCAGAAGAACGACTTGTCGTCGTGACTTCAAACACTGATCTGTTTGCCGCCGCCGCCGTGTTGTCGTCACTTGATTAACTCACTTGAAACTCTGAAGCTCCACATCCACGGTGGAGACGCCAGGCTGCAAACCCACGCACTCATTATTACTATGAGGTTTGCCAACACACCGGCTGGCACCGCACAGTGCCAGTCCTCCAACACACACACACACACACACACTGAAATACACTCCCTGTTGGCCCTGTTGTGGAATCCATGTCCCTGGCTTCTTCTTCCTTTCAGACCATTTCACTGGTACTGATTTCAGGACTCAATGTTCCGTTTAGTTTAGTGATTTCTGAGAAGCCTGCGATCGGTTTTATAAAGTAATAAAGTATATATTCTAAATAAGGATAAGTTTTAAACGTTCTTTAGGTTTTATTCACTGTATTTAAGTCCTTGTTTTCTGGCCTCTCTCCAGCGTGTGTCAGTTCCTGGCCCGTTGTCAGTCGGCGACAGGAGGCTTCGCCGGAGGACCGGGTCAACACGCTCACCTCGCGCCTACGTACGCTGCCGTCAACGCCCTCTGTATCATCGGCACAGAAGAGGCCTACAACGTTATAGACAGGTAAAACCAACACCGTTGTTAATAATGCTTTAAAAAAAAAAAAAAAGCCAATGTTCGACCTCCACCCTGTGTCTGTGTCCCTGGTCCAGGGAGAAGCTTCTAGATTTCCTATGGTCAGTGAAGCAGCCTGATGGTTCGTTTGTGATGCACGTCGGAGGAGAGGTGGACGTCAGGTGTTCTACCTAACTTTATCTATTCATTTGACATAACCATCATCTGAACCTGGCAGTCGAGACATAAACTCATCATGTGTACCTCCACAGGAGTGCGTACTGTGCAGCCTCTGTAGCTTCGCTCACAAACATCCTGACAACAAAACTGTTTGAGAACACGCCCAACTGGATCCTCAGGTACGACACGGACAGACCAGCAGCTAAAAAACCAGCTAAAGAACCCGCTGAACCACAGCTTCAAGGAAATATCTCCAGATCTTTTTTTTTTTTTTGATTTTGTGTTTTTCCCAGGTGTCAAAACTGGGAGGGTGGTCTCAGCGGAGTCCCAGGACTGGAAGCTCACGGTGGTTACACCTTCTGTGGCACGGCTGCACTTGTCATCCTGGGTAAAGAACACGTACTGAATCTCAAAGCCTTACTGGTAAGAGAGAAAAAAAAATCTCGTTTCTACTCTTGTATTTTTATTTTATTTTTCATTCAGACCGAGGTTTTAAAGTCAGAGCCCAGCGTTAATAAAACTCTGCCACTGCTCACAGGAACAACGAGAGGTCATTTATCTGCCTGGAGCCCAAAACCAGAGATAGATTAAATCACACATCACAGTCCTGGAGCTGGATTAATGCCACTGTTACAGGCCGCTCTGTGTGTGTGATAAAGTAAGAACAGGATGTTATGACCTACGGACAGATTAGATCCAGAGAAATGTCTGCTAACAAACACACTGTCTGAGGTGGAGCCTGGAGCTGCACCGCAAACATTATTAGGTGTCGTCATGTAGAGCGTGTCTAAAACCCCAGGCTACGGACCGGACATTTTCAAAATAAAACATCTTTTAGACAATATTCTCTTACTATCAGTGTCTGAATGACCTATTATTTTAAAATATTGCCAGATTATCTTTAAATAAAGAAAGTAAATGAACAGGACATTTATCTCCAATAAAGGAGAAACAAACTTCCTGTTCAGTCCATCTGGTTTCTTTAGCACCATTTCTGGTCAGGTGACAGTAAATATGCTAATCTCTAACACAGATTAGAACACCGGCCACAGACCAGAAATATGCTAATCTCTAACCGAAGAGAAGATAGCACAGATTAGAACACCGGCCACAGACCATCTGACCGTCACTGTCCTCCAGCAGATGTTTTGAATGTGGTTTCTAAATTTACATGACGTCGAAGCTGCTTCAACTTCCTCTGGGCTCAGGATCTGAACCTCGCTCAGCCTGAAGTCAGGGTCAGAGGTCGACAGGATCAGCAACCTCCGAGGGGCGCTGTGTCTGTTTGTGCCTCCTGAGAAGTCTTTACACATATGGATTTCTGCGTCAGTGGTTTAACCTGAGAGTCAGAGGAGCTGGAGGTGCCAGCAGGGGGCAGACAAGGTGATGGCAGAGGGCGGGGCAGCAGAAGGGTTGTGAGCCAACAGCAGATACTGTCACCCTTAAGATCCTCTATATCAGTGGGTCTCAAACACTGGCTCGCAGCGCATTTGTGTGCGAGTCATAACAAAGTCATAACAAAGTCATACATTCGTGTGCCATGAAGTATAAGTCATAACAAAGACATTTATCCAATTTGGATGGATGATAATTGGCTAATCGAACTTGATTGTTTTCCACCAATTAACACAGGCATCGGTGTCAGTTGTCAGACAAGGTAGGTTATTAAAAAGCAGTGACGCGCCCCCTCTGCACCCCCCACACCCCCGGCCCACTTCTTACTCACATTACCATGGTCATGTTGAGACATCAATATGTGAACCTGTGTATCAACACGCTGGGTTTATACATGGTACTAGTCCCAGTCTAATATTAAACCCTGCTTTTAATCAATAAATACTGTGTAGTCAGTTGTCCCCGCCCCGTAGCTTTGGAGATTATTGGCCTTGAAACTGATGGAAACCTCTGAGCTGCAGTATTAAAGTGAGAAAACAGAGGATTTTTTTTTTCTTTTTTTGGAAAAATCCGCTGTAAATACTTTCTTCACTTCTGTTGAATGTGTGTGTGTGTTTTTGTCAGAGGTGGGTGGTGAGCAGACAGATGAGGTTCGAGGGAGGTTTTCAAGGCCGCTGTAACAAACTGGTGGACGGCTGCTACTCTTTCTGGCAGGCTGGACTCCTGCCGCTGCTGCACAGAGCTTTATTCAAAGAAGGTACTTCTTATATTTAAGATATTTTCTCCCAGTTAAATAATCTTGCCCCCCTCACCCCCACCCAACCTGATTCTGTTTGTGACCAACTGTGCTGTGTTGGTGCAGGAGAGTCGGAGCTCAGTCGGCAGAGGTGGATGTTCCAGCAGCAGGCCCTGCAGGAGTACATCCTCCTCTGCTGTCAGAACCCAGCAGGGGGCCTCCTGGACAAACCTGGCAAGTCAGTACCAGTACCAGTACCAGTACCAGCCATCTGGACCCTCACAGAACCACACTGCTGCACCCTTTCACCCATTTAACAATATTTAACCATCTGTGTGTGTGTGTGTGTGTGTGTGTAGATCCAGGGATTTCTACCACACGTGTTACTGCCTGAGTGGACTCTCCATTGCACAACACTTTGGAAACAACGACCTTCATCATGAAACGATTCTGGGCAAAGAGGAGAACAGACTGGTGAGGCATTGATAAAATACTAAGATGAGACTATTTTTATTGGACTGGACATCTGTTAGATCTAAGTATAATTTACTGAACCACAGACTGGGATTCTATTTTAATGGTTCTGTCAAAAACTGACAATAAAAAACATTTTATTAGTTTTGTCACCAGTTTTTTTTATCCATTAACATTTGCAGCAGAACCATCCAATCTGTGTGTGTGTGTGTGTGGTCCATCACATACCTGGTGAGAACCTTCTCACACTTGGTCGTCAGGGTCTCCTGGTCGGCTGGTGTTAGTCTAATGATCTTCTCACTTCCTCGTCTCGTCGTCCAACAACTGACCTGGAGTTCCACCATCTTACAGTGACTGTGAAGCCCGTGTCTGTTGCAGTTTTTCACCCTGCCACCAGGAGAGTCAGGGAGACTTGTAAAATAAAATGTTTCCAGATGTCCAGAATGTAGAGAGAGGTTTTGTGAAGACCAGGACAGAACTCATCTGTGTCTTCCACCTGTGAAACCTCAGTTCCCTAGTGGGCGTGGCCTTGGTTGCACCTGCTGTCAGTGTGTTCAGAACCAAAGCAGGTGAAGCTGATTCAAACCCTTCAGCTTCCTCATTGGACAGGAAGTGACATTGGTGACGTTACACCACAAGGACCAGCATTTCCAGAAACTTCACTTGTTCCACAGATGTATTCAAGGATGTAAAGAAATAAACGTAACGCTCACCTCCATTTACTTCTTGTTTTTCAGGCTCCAACTCATCCTGTTTACAACATGTGTCCAGACAAAGTGGCCCAGGCTCTGCAGCACTTTCACCGACTTCCTGTCCCGGGCGACAACAGACACACGGAAGCTTCTGGATCTGCTGGGCCTCAGTCTTAGCTCCTTCTCATTGGAGACCAAAACCCCGACTCGACTGCAGTCCATGTCCATGTGACCCGGACAGTTCCTCCAGCTGGCCACGGCGGCGCTGTTAGTGGATGAAAAGCTGAGCAGAAGCCGAGGAGTTAAAAAGGTTTTTCAGCTGAAGTTCAGTTTGAGCTGAAATTGTTCTGCCTGTTGTTTTCATTCTGTGAAACAAAACTTGGAAATCTGTGATGGTTTCATTATGACTGACATTAATAAAAAAAAAAAGTTTGTACAACTCTTTTCATCACTGGTGTCAAAGCCTGAGACATGTTGGACAGTGACATCCCTTAGTTGTGCTTTTTGGGTCTGTTTGACAAACTAAAACAATAAAGTTATCTGGATACTTAAATCATGTGTGTGTTTATAACAGATCGATGAAGTCCTTCACACACCTAACACTGTTCTCCAAAATATCTCAGAATGTTCACAACACCTCAAAATGTCATGGAATTGAATAGAAATGTCTGGATTTGGTCCAGGCTGAGAACAAACGCCTTCGCAGGAGATGACGAACAAAAAGATTGATTTTTTTTCCCGACATAAATACACCAGTGAGGTATGGACTGAGTCTTAGACGTTTTGTTTGTTTGTTTGTTTTATACCTGGGCTTAAAAAAAGCAGACAATTGTTGAACAGTTGGACATAACACCCTCGATGACCTGAGTGAAACAGAAAACCTCAGTGGAAACAGATCTGACTGTGAAACACCTGCTCACAACCAGGAAACCAGAAAAACCAGAAGCTCAATAGATGACCACGCTGCTGCATCCTGAAAAGACCTTAATAAGCCTTTAAATAATTTCCACTGTTAAACTTCACTAAAGATATATATATATATATGTGTGTGTGTTCAGGAAAACATGAAAGAAAAACACCAAGTACCAGACAACCATATGAAAATATAAAATACATAAATATAAATAAAACTATAGGACTAAATATATGTGTGTGTCTGTTATATAACTGTATCAACCTGGCAGTCATTTCACTTAAAATCCCCTTTTAATAAATAATTGTGCCTTTACGTTCTATGGTCTGAAAAAAGTCAATAATACTCGGCAAAACCTGGTTTCATTTAAATCAAAGGGGTTTAATTTCCCTGCTCATTTTGTGTACTCGCCCCCTGGGGACGAAACATTAGAACGCACTTCGTTTAAACACTCGCTTTGTAGTAAAAAAATGTTTTTTAGTAAAGTTACTAAAACGTTGATACATGTGAAAAAGTTGCATGAATTTATATCGTTGTTTTATTTTTTTTATTTCGCTTTTCTTTTATCAAAAGGTCTCTATTTTCTTCATTTTTCACAAGAGCAGTTTAGCGGAGGGACACATTTTAGGATGAAATCTTGTCTGTAATGCGGTCGGTTGTTTGGTTTAGCTCCGCCAACAACAAGGTCCGGCCAATAGGTTTTCAATATGATTTGCCCGCTAGTAGCTGAAACATGAAACCGCACTCATCAAGTTCCCGCCAAAGCGGTCGCATCAATGATGAGTGCAGTTCATCATTGGTGCCGGACCTTGTTGTTGGCGGAGCTAAACCGAACAACCGACCGCATTACCAGACAAGATTTCATCATAAAATGTGTCCCTACGCTAAACTGCCCTTGTGAAAAATGAAGAAAATAGAGACCTTTCGATAAAAGAAAAGCGAAATAAAATTAATAAAACAACGATATAAATTCATGCAACTTTTTCACATGTATCA